TTTTGGCCTCAACTGCTTTTTAAGCTAAAGATAAAATGCTGCATCTGCTTGAATCTGGCTTGCTCGAAGAGATAAACATGACTACAGGATGTTAAAAAAAATGCATCGAATTTAAAAAATTTATGAAATATTTAATCGAATTAATAATCAATAACGATTAAGCTAAAACCTTGAGGTAGGTTAGAAGCTTAAGCTTACGTACGACCAAATAAAAAGAGCTTGTTATTGTAAGACCCAAGAATGAGAGTAGAGCAAAAATAAATGCTCCCTAATAAAAATATATTTTATAAAAAATGTATATAGCAAAATTCATTAAAACAAATTGTTTGTATATAATATAACTTAATGTGAATTGGAATATATACATATGTGATGTGATAATCAGTTAAATGAGTTAGTGGGGTGGACAGATATATTGATGGATAATATGAAAATAGAGACTTAGAAGAATTAATGAAATAACTGATGTGAATATATCATAATTATGAACATGATATTCATATCAGTTATATCATGAATTTTAATTCCACATCACTTCTATCTTCATTGCATCCGTATCCATAACTAGAATCCGAATCACCTGATTGATGCAACGAATGTGCCATGAAATTTCACAGCACTTATTCAATTTGCTTATAAAATCTCATACATCATGTTGTCAAAGAGTTAAGTTTTGAGCATATTGCGTTTCAATGTGCGGCTGTCTCAAGAAGGGCAGATAAACTAAGCTAAAAGATACCCTCTATATCCTATATCCATTAACAGTTTTTATAGACTTGTCGAGTTACCAGCTATATCTATACCATACCAACTCAAAATTTGGCTCGTTACATCTTGCCTCGTGGAAAGTAGCTCGCCCTTGGCAGCTAACTCAATAAGTACAGGGTATAAGAACGCGTAAAAAAGTTAACTCACAGATACAAGCAAAGGCAGCAAAGGAAAGACAGATGCAGATAGAGATTCGCAAACAGCAGCGATACAAACACACGGAACACGGACGGACAGACAGACAGACGGACAGACAGACGGATGGGCAAAGTTACACACAAATAATGCATAAAAGTAGCTTATAAAACAAAATTTGTATGAATGGTCCATGTAGCGCAGCTACGTGACATGACGTCTCGAGATTTAACTTGTTGTTTGCTCCAGCCAAAGTTGGCTCCAACGTCTGCGAATAACCAAGCAGCACCGCCGCCACCAATACCACTGCCACCAATACCACTGCCAACACCACCACCGCCACCACCGCCACCACCGACTGCGGCTGACGCTGTTGCCGACTTTTTGTGGCTTTTGCCAGCTGCCTGTTGCCATCGTTGGTTTTTGGGTTTTGGGGCTCTTGAGCCTGGGCACGGAAAATAATTCCCATCAAATCACGTCGCTCTTGCGGAACTCTTCAAAACTGATTCAGATTTCTGGTCGCCCTCAACAGCCGCAGTCCATTTATGTGCGAGAGCTTCATTTTTTATGATATGCCGAGCATCTCAAAACAATTTGCAAGACTTACGGCTGAGTTTCGTCTCGTCTCGTTTCGACTCGTTTCGTTTCGACTCGTTTCGCTTTGTTGCTGGTGTCTGGCATAAATTATAAATGCCGCAAGCTCTGTAAGCACAAAAAATTTCTGGCTAAACAGTTACAGCTGGCTAAAGGTGCTGCAGCAAAAGCCGAATGGCTATAACCTAACATATATGTATATGTGTGTGTGCGTGGTGCGTGTTTGTGTATGCATTGATTTATTAAGTAGCCGACCAGTTAGACCGAAACACAATTGCCAATTGGCAATTATCAAAATGTGGTCAATTTGGTCCAACATGGCCACAACAGTCAATGTAGTCCGAGGCATCTTTGAGACACAAGTGTTTGTACATGGCCGGGCCGGGCATCGCACTTCATTAGGTCTCTACTCTAACACACACACACACACACAAGCACACACATAGAGCACACAGATACTTACACACCCACAAGCAGCCACACAGCCCACTTAGAGCATTGCCAACTAATCCAAGTCAATAAAATTTCTAACTATAAAAGCCTTTTGCTGCCGGGCACGGTCCGAGCTGGTTTTTAGACTCGTTGCGAAAGGGCTTTGGCCATGGCCAATTGCAGCTGAGGCTCCGGTTTTACATTCATTAAATGTACATTTTGTGGCTGCTTTTTGGGTGGAGGGGGAGGCGGTGGAGGAGTAGGAGGGCGTGTGGCCAAAACCAAAAACACCTTGATTGCCAGCCATGCGGTGTGTGGCGGAACGCCAGCCATTTGACTGCCAGCAATTGAAATTTACAAAAAGCCACATTATTAATCTCAAGATTAGATTGAGTGCGCTTCCGATAAGCGGCAGAAATGTTTATGATTCACTTGTAGTAGTAGTTCTCTGGCTATCTAGGACGTGTCTGTTGCCCATCTGCTTAAAGCTTTAACCCCAACCAGAGCCAGAGCCAGAGACAGAGCCAGAGTCAGAGCCAGAGATAGAGACAGAGAATTTATTTAGCGTACCTCAAATGTGGCTTGCTTTAGTTTTTGTTTTCGTTTTCGTTTTCTTAATTTCTTTCAAGTTCCGCTTGGCTCAGAGCTGATTAAAAGATAATCGCATTTATTCTAAATAAGCTTTCTACATTCTAGTCAAATAGAGACTGAAACTCAAATTGAAATTTATGAAGTCTCGCTCTGTTGGAGAGTGTTACACTCTCGCCCCAGTTGCAGCCGCTGCCATTCCATAGATGATTTTATTTTCTTTTGTGTTGTGTGACTTGTTGAACAAATATAAATTTGGATTAGGCTCAAAAGTTAGGCACATATTTAACAGTCGAGTCATTCGCACTGTAGTTGACGCTGATCGGGTAAATGATTCAATTTTTCTTATAGCATACTCATTGAAAAATTGTATAAGGGTATATATATTTGGTAGAGTCTGAAGGTAGACTATGAAATTTTTACCAACTTCAGTTGAGGACTTAAGAAGTCAGCTAATTCTTTTTATGGGTTATCATTTAGTCTTGGAACGAAGATAAAATCGGTATAAAAAGTATTGGAGAAATATTTATAAAATCTATTAATAGTATCATAATCAGATATACATATATCAGAATACATAAAATTATTAACCATATCATATATTCAATAGTCAAAAATATGAATCTAAAAAGTAGGTCAAAAACATAATATGTAGTACAATTATTAAATAAATAAATTATTTGATATATAAATTCCATCCA